CTGAACTAGAACTGAACTAGAACTGAACTAGAACTGAACTAGAACTGAACTAGAACTGAACTAGAAACTGAACTAGAACTGAACTAGAACTGAACTAGAACTGAACTAGAACTGAACTAGAACTGAACTAGAACTGAACTAGAACTGAACTAGAATGAACTAGAACTGAACTAGAACTGAACTAGAACTGAACTAGAACTGAACTAGAACTGAACTAGAACTGAACTAAAGAACTAGAACTGAACTAGAACTGAACTAGAACTGAACTAGAACTGAACTAGAACTGAACTAGAACTGAACTAGAACTGAACTAGAACTGAACTAGAACTGAACTAGAACTGAACTAGAACTGAACTAGAACTGAACTAGAACTGAACTAGAACTGAACTAGAACTGAACTAGAACTGAACTAGAACTGAACTAGAACTGAACTAGAACTGAACTAGAACTGAACTAGAACTGAACTAGAACTGAACTAGAACTGAACTAGAACTGAACTAGAACTGAACTAGAACTGAACTAGAACTGAACTAGAACTGAACTAGAACTGAACTAGAACTGAACTAGAACTGAACTAGAACTGAACTAGAACTGAACTAGAACTGAACTAGAACTGACTAGAACTGAACTAGAACTGAACTAGAACTGACTAGAACTGAACTAGAACTGAACTAGAACTGAACTAGAACTGAACTAGAATGAACTAGAACTGAACTAGAAACTGAACTAGAACTGAACTAGAACTGAACTAGAACTGAACTAGAACTGAACTAGAACTGATCTAGAACTGAAGTAGAACTAGAACTGAACTAGAACTGTACTGGAATAGAACTGAAGAAAATTAAATTTTATAAAATATTGCATACTTTTTGGGTTGAAATCTGGTTGTGACACCAGTATAGGGTTCACAAAGAAACACGTTCAATTTCACTTCCTGAATTTTAATTACATTTACATTTGTAAATGTATAGGTTTCCAAGAAATATATTTCTGTTAATAATTACAGATATTTGTTAATACAAATGTCAACATATTTTATCCAAGAAAAGTCTTCAACATATTTATTCACAACAATTTAAATTTATGTTATCAGTATTGTACAGCTTATGGCCCGTCCAAATGGAAATTTTATATAAGTTTTTAATTTGCAAAACTATTAATTTAAATCAAATAATACTAAATTGACTGCATCGCTATGAACTCTTTAACTTTGACAATAAAGTAAAGTTTTTAAACGTTTGGACATTTCTGGTTGACTTTAGTGATAAGAACATTTTACATGCAATGCATATTTTTTTTACAAACATACATTAATCTTGTATGTATAAAAAATGTTTCTTTTTATTGTTTTAATATCAATTGTTGTTGACTTGTGCCCACATTAAATACATTCTTATTTTATTATTTTTTATTGTATTCATTGAAAGATTTCTTCTTTTTGTTTTGTTTGTTTATTATTTTTTTATAAATAATCATATTTAGCTAAAAATAGATTTTGTTTTTCTAGCATTAATATTTATAAAAGAAATTTCTATAAAAATATGAAAAGTGTGCTTTGTTAGTGTTGAGGAGATTTGGTTTTGAAATAATTCAATATTTAGATTTAAATTAAAATTCCCACTGAAGTTATTGAAAACCAATTTATATGTAAATAGATTAATTAAAAATGTTTGTACACACATGATGAAGTCCTCATCCTCCATTTAATTTTACACATCAGATAATTCATAACTTGTTGTCAGCACATACCTGATATTTTGCTTGAATTTTACTATTGATTCAATTTATAATTTGTTTATATGTCATCTAACATTTATTCATATGGTGACATTTAGGGAGATTAAATTTAAATGCGATTGCTGTAAAATATTTGTCACTTTTAATAGGATTGTCCAATAAACACAATAAGCAAATTGATATTTTTAGTTAAATAAAGGAGACAGGTTTAAAATATTCTAATAAGTAAAGATTTCCGTTCTTTTCTAGTTTAGTTCAGTTCTATTTAAGATCTAGTTCAGTTCTAGTTCAGTTCTAGTTCAGTTCTAGTTTAGTTCTAGTTTAGTTCTAGTTCAGTTCTAGTCAGTTCTAAATTAGATCTACTTCAGTTCTAGTTCAGTTCTTGTTCAGTTTTAGTTCAGTTCTAGTTCAGTTCTAGTTCAGTTCTAGTTCAGTTCTAGTTCAGTTCTAGTTCAGTTCTAGTTCAGTTCTAGTTCAGTTCTAGTTCAGTTCTAGTTCAGTTCTAGTTCAGTTCTAGTTAAGTTCTAGTTCAGTTCTAGTTCAGTTCTAGTTCAGTTCTAGTTCAGTTCTAGTTCAGTTCTAGTTCAGTTCTAGTTCAGTTCTAGTTCAGTTCTAGTTCAGTTCTAGTTCAGTTCTAGTTCAGTTCTAGTTCAGTTCTAGTTCAGTTCTAGTTCAGTTCTAGTTCAGTTCTAGTTCAGTTCTAGTTCAGTTCTAGTTCAGTTTAGTTCAGTTCTAGTTCAGTTCTAGTTCAGTTCTAGTTCAGTTCTTGTTCAATTCTAGTTAAGTTATTGGTCAGTTCTAGTTAAGTTCTTGTTCAGTTGTAGTTAAGTTCTTGTTCAATTCTAGTTAAGTTATTGGTCAGTTCTAGTTAAGTTCTGTTCAGTTGTAGTTAGTTCTTGTTCAATTCTAGTTATTGGTCAGTTCTAGTTCAGTTCTAGTTCAGTTCTAGTTCAGTTTTAGTTCAGTTCTAGTTAAGTTCTTGTTCAATTCTAGTTAAGTTATTGGTCAGTTCTAGTTAAGTTCTTGTTCAGTTGTAGTTAAGTTCTTGTTCAATTCTAGTTAAGTTATTGGTCAGTTCTAGTTAAGTTCTTGTTCAGTTGTAGTTTAGTTCTAGTTCAGTTCTAGTTTAGTTCTAGTTCAGTTCTAGTTCAGTTCTAGTTCAGTTCTAGTTCAGTTCTAGTTCAGTTCTAGTTCAGTTCTAGTTCAGTTCTAGTTCAGTTCTAGTTCAGTTCTAGTTCAGTTCTAGTTCAGTTCTAGTTCAGTTCTAGTTCAGTTCTAGTTCAGTTCTAGTTCAGTTCTAGTTCAGTTCTAGTTCAGTTCTAGTTCAGTTCTAGTTCAGTTCTAGTTCAGTTCTAGTTCAGTTCTAGTTCAGTTCTAGTTCAGTTCTAGTTCAGTTCTAGTTCAGTTCTAGTTCAGTTCTAGTTCAGTTCTAGTTCAGTTCTAGTTCAGTTCTAGTTCAGTTCTAGTTCAGTTCTAGTTCAGTTCTAGTTCAGTTCTAGTTCAGTTCTAGTTCAGTTCTAGTTCAGTTCTAGTTCAGTTCTAGTTCAGTTCTAGTTCAGTTCTAGTTCAGTTCTAGTTCAGTTAGTTCTAGTTCAGTTCTAGTTCAGTTCTAGTTCAGTTCTAGTTCAGTTCTAGTTCAGTTCTAGTTCAGTTCTAGTTCAGTTCTAGTTCAGTTCTAGTTCAGTTCTAGTTCAGTTCTAGTTCAGTTCTAGTTCAGTTCTAGTTCAGTTCTAGTTCAGTTCTAGTTCAGTTCTAGTTCAGTTAGTTCAGTTCTAGTTCAGTTCTAGTTCAGTTCTAGTTCAGTTCTAGTTCAGTTCTAGTTCAGTTCTAGTTCAGTTCTAGTTCAGTTTTTGTTCAGTTCTAGTTCAGTTCTAGTTCAGTCTAGTTCAGTTCTAGTTCAGTTCTAGTTCAGTTCTAGTTCAGTTCTAGTTCAGTTCTAGTTCAGTTCTAGTTCAGTTCTAGTTCAGTTCTAGTTCAGTTCTAGTTCAGTTCAGTCTAGTTCTAGTTCAGTTCTAGTTCTAGTTCAGTTACAGTTCAGTTCTAGTTCAGTTCTAGTTCAGTTCTAGTTCAGTTCTAGTTCAGTTCTAGTTCAGTTCTAGTTCAGTTCTAGTTCAGTTCTAGTTCAGTTCTAGTTCAGTTCTAGTTCAGTTCTAGTTCAGTTCTAGTTCGTTTAGTTCTAGTCAGTTCTAGTTCTAGTTCAGTTAACAGTCAGTTCTAGTTCAGTTCTAGTTCAGTTCTAGTTCAGTTCTAGTTAGTTCTAGTTCGTTCTAGTCTCAGTTCTAGTTTCAGTTTCTAGTTAAGTTCTAGTTCATTCTAGTTCAGTTCTAGTCAGTTCTGTCGTTTCTAGTTAGTTCTAGATCAGTTCTAGTTCAGTTTTCTAGTTCAGTTCTAGTTCCGTTCTAGTTTCAGTTTTCTAGTTCAGTTCTAGTTCAGTTTCTAGTTCAGTTCTAGTTCAGTTCTAGTTCCAGTTCTAGTTCAGTTCTAGATTCAGTTCTAGTTCAGTTCTAGTTCAGTTCTTAGTTCAGTTCTAGTTCAGTTCTAGTTCATTTCTAGTTCAGTTTAGTTAAGTTCTAGTTCCGTTTCTAGTTCAGTTCTGTCAGTTCTAGTTTCATTCTAGTTCAGTTCAGTTCCGTTCTAGTTCTCGTTCTAGCTTCAGTTCTAGTTCAGTTCTAGTTCCAGTTTCAGTTCAGGTTCTCGTTCAGTTATAGTTCAGTTCTAGTTCAGTTTCTAGTTTCAGTTTCTAGTTCATTTTCTAGTTCAGTTCTAGTTCAGTTCTAGTTTCATAGTTCGTTTAGTTCAGTTCCTAGTTGTTCTCTAGTTTCGTTCTAGTTTCAGTTCTATTTCAGTTCTAGTTTAGTTTTAGTTCAGTTCTAGTTCAGTTTTAGTTCAGTTCTAGTTCAGTTCTAGTTCAGTTCTAGTTCAGTTCTAGTTCAGTTCTAGTTCAGTTCTACATCAGTTCTAGTTCTGTTTTGTTTTGGTTCAAGTTCTAGTTCTGTTTTATTTTGGTTTAAGTTCAGTTCTAGTTCACTTTTAGTTCTGTTTTGTTTCGTTTCAAGTTCAGTTGCCTATCATTCAGTTCAGTTATTTCAAATTTCTATTTCAATTCTAGTTCAGATTCAATTCATTTAAAACCCGCTCTACTTTACTCAATCATTAAGGAAAAATTAAAGGCACTTTGTTGATCATAATTTGTTTCTAAATAATTTTTTACCTAATTGTAGAAATTATTTTTTTTATTATTTTTAAATTACAAAAATACTTACTTGCTGTGCAACCAATAATTGCATTCGATATCCATAATCCCAATAACATTAAGATGTGAAAATGCATTTTCTTAAATGACAGCCACGCCTACTGCTGGGGCATTGTAGTTTATATGTGTGAGGTAAATCCATAATTGGTAATTTAAATAATTTACTAAATTATATAAAAACAAAGTATTTGTTTGTTACGTTTCCATAAACTTTCTTTAGTACTTTTTTTTTAAATTGTAACTAAAACATGTTTTCCTTAAGAATTAAAAATTTTCACTAAAAAAAAAACAAATTAAAAAATTATTTATTATATTATATTTTTAATAATTTCACTTCAAATTCTTTGGTTTCACTTTTTGAAAGAGATTTTTATTAAATTGTAATAATTTTTTTATTTTATATTTTCTGTAAATATCTCAAGACATTTTGTTTAATATAATTTATATTTTATGTTTTTGTTTAAATCACTCCGAAATTTATTCAAATCAGTCTTATTCATACGAGTTCCAGTTTAAAACTATTTTTATTCGCTCAAAGCTTAAAAGCATAAAGTTTAATTTCTTCGAAAACAATAACTTGAGCTTTTAGTTCAGTTTTAAAGATAAATAATTAAAAAATACTAATAAATAATTTGTGGTTGTTTTGTTGTTGTTATTGTTGTTGCCGTCGTCGATTTAAAACATAATTCTTTTTTTATCAATTAAAAATTATTATTATAATTTATATGTTGTTGTTTTCATTTATGTTATTTTTTCGTTCATTTTTTAGCGGGCTTTGAAAGCAGTTGTCGTTTTATGTTTTGTAAACAATATTAAATTTAAACTTTTTCTCTGTTCTCTCGCTTATGTTTTATTCCTTTATTTGTTTACTTCGCAGAAAATTGCATTTGTTTATCTGTAAAGAAAAGAATTTTAAAACAAAAATTAATAAAATGTTTATTTTTGTTGTTTTTTTTTATAAAATTATTATTTTTTTTCTTGAAAAAGATAAACTGTTTAAAAGTTTAATTACTTTAAGTTTGTTTATTAAGGCTAGATTAACCTAAGTTTAAACTAGGCTAGGCTTACTGGCGCTTTCTATCAAGTAGTTTAAGCGATAATAATGCAATGGAAAGTTCTATAAAATTAACTGGAATTTATTGTAGTGGAGAAAATTTTAGAAATTTTGATTAAATAATTTGTTTGACGTAAATAAATGGGATCAATAATTCTACGTAATATTTAGGAATAAAACTATTGTTGTAAAATTGCACAGTTTTGGTTAGTCGAGTTCTAGTTCAGTTCTAGTTCAGTTCTAGTTCAGTTCTAGTTTAGTTCTAGTTCAGTTCTAGTTCAGTTCTAGTTCAGTTCTAGTTCAGTTCTAGTTCAGTTCTAGTTCACTTCTAGTTCAGTTCTAGTTCAGTTCTAGTTCAGTTCTAGTTCAGTTCTAGTTCAGTTCTAGTTCAGTTCTAGTTCAGTTCTAGTTCAGTTCTAGTTCAGTTCTAGTTCAGTTCTAGTTCAGTTCTAGTTCAGTTCTAGTTCAGTTCTAGTTCAGTTCTAGTTCAGTTCTAGTTAGTTCTAGTTCAGTTCTAGTTCAGTTCTAGTTCAGTTCTAGTTCAGTTCTAGTTCTAGTTCTAGTTCAGTTCTAGTTCAGTTCTAGTTCAGTTCTAGTTCAGTTCTAGTTCAGTTCTAGTTCAGTTCTAGTTCAGTTCCTAGTTCAGTTCTAGTTCAGTTCTAGTTCAGTTCTAGTTCAGTTCGTTCAGTTCTAGTTCAGTTCTAGTTCAGTTCTAGTTCAGTTCTAGTTCAGTTCTAGTTCAGTTCTAGTTCAGTTCTAGTTCAGTTCTAGTTCAGTTCTAGTTCAGTTCTAGTTCAGTTCTAGTTCAGTTCTAGTTCAGTTCTAGTTCAGTTCTAGTTCAGTTCTAGTTCAGTTCTAGTTCAGTTCTAGTCAGTTCTAGTTCAGTTCTAGTTCAGTTCTAGTTCAGTTCTAGTTCAGTTCTAGTTCAGTTCTAGTTCAGTTCTAGTTCAGTTCTAGTTCAGTTCTAGTTCAGTTCTAGTTCAGTTCTAGTTCAGTTCTAGTTCAGTTCTAGTTCAGTTCTAGTTCAGTTCTAGTTCAGTTCTAGTTCAGTTATAGGTAGTTCTAGTTCAGTTCTAGTCTTCTAGTTCATTCTGTTAAGTTGTAGTTAAGTTCTAGTTAAGTTCTAGTTCAGTCCTAGTTCAGTTCTAGTTCAGTACTAGTTGAGTTCTAGTTCAGTTCTAGTTCAGTTCTAGTTCAGTTCTAGTTCATTTCTAGTTCAGTTCTAGTTCAGTTCTAGTTCAGTTCTAGTTCAGTTCTAGTTCAGTTCTAGTTCAGTTCTAGTTCAGTTCTAGTTCAGTTCTGGTTCAGTTTCTAGTTCAGTTCTAGTTCAGTTCTAGTTCAGTTCTAGTTCAGTTCTAGTTCAGTTCTAGTTCAGTTCTAGTTCAGTTCTAGTTCAGTTCTAGTTCAGTTCTAGTTCAGTTCTAGTTCAGTTCTAGTTCAGTTCTAGTTCAGTTCTAGTTCAGTTCTAGTTCAGTTCTAGTTCAGTTCTAGTTCAGTTCTAGTTCTGTTCTAGTTCAGTTCTAGTTCTTTCTTTTTCTGTGCTATTTTAGTCTAGCCGTTGGAAGCTTTAAATAACAACATTTGGAAAAACCCTTTATAATTTTTTTAATACAAAGTTTATTATTATGTATTATTTCAACATATTTCAAGAGTGTATCTTGATTTAAATTTCTGATGTCTTTATAGTTTTTTTTTTTCATTCCATCTCCTATTTGTGTTTGTGCAAAAATGCATAAACGAACGCAGTACATTTCAAAACCACATGAGCTCTTGTAACTTTTAGGATTTCAAAGATTTATTTGAAAACTACTTTATACAATGAACTTTCAACAAGATTTTTTTTTTTTTTGTATTTTGCTCTTACACTTTGTTTGTGTTGCACGAATACGTGTTTATAATTTATTTCCTATTTATAACAGCAAATTTTTTTTGATTTACATTAAGGGTATTCATGAGTATGTTCAGAAAGAAATAGTAGAAATTTATAGTAAAATATTTAGCTTTAAATTTTTATTAATGCTTAACAAAGAATATAATTTGAGACGTTTTAATAAGATATGAATATCCTTAATAATTTTATTGATTCTAAAGAATGTTGTTGTATTTTTCCAAAATTATATAGTTTAAGGCAATTGTTAACATATTTGATTTGAATTGATTTTAGAAAAATGTGCTCTGAGGCGCCAGTCTTTTATATCAAGCATAACACTACATCTTATTTGTATACAAAATATTTTATTGTTTAAATAAATTCTTTAATATTTTTATTAAAATTAAGAAATTGTATTTAAATAGTTTTTGTCGGTTTGGTACTTTTATGGTACTAAATTTATCCCATATCATAAACAAACTCATGCTACCATATGTGTCTTAATTTTATTCAATCTCATTTAACAATTAAAATTTATTACAATTTCTTCAATTAAAATTCATGATTTTTTTGCACAAATACAATAAAAGACAAAAAAAGATTTCCAGAAAAATTTTTCTTCAAATGAAGACATAAATTAAACTAAAAAATCCATTAAAATAAAATTCTTTTTATAAATAAAGCTTAAACACAATTCAACAATTAAAACCATTAGAAATGTCTGCAATCACGTTCCAAAGCGGAAATACACTGAAACAAATTTTTAAGAAATAAACACTAAACAAAACTGAAGTGCCAAATGACCTGATTATTGATAAAAAAAATGTTAAAAAAATATTTGGAAATTATTACAACTATTTCATTTAAATTGTTGTAAAGTGTGAAATTAAACAACAAACAAATTATAATAATAACAAAACTACTGAATGAAAATGACTTCATTCCAATGAAAGGGGAAGTTTAAATTTTTTATAATTTGAATATTATTTTGGCATCATTTCTATGACTCAAATATGAATAAAAAATTAATTTTTTCTTTGAATGAAATTTTTTTCAATGAATTGAAATTATGAATCGTATAATTATTATTTCTTTTTTTTACTATTTTGTTTATGTCATTTTAAACAATTAAAAAGTTTGCGTTATTTTTCTGTATTTTAATTAGTAGAAATTTCTTGTTCATAGTAAATTTAATTTATTGTTTAATTAGAAGTGAAACCACATGTTGCTTAAGTGTCACAATTAGTTTTACACTTTGAAAAATTAAACTGATATGATTTTATTTAACTCATTTGGAAGAAAGTATAAAATATTATGGATCGTATATAATTAAACTAGAACTGAACTAGAACTGAACCAGAACTGAACCAGAACTTAACTAGTACTAGAACTAAACTAGTACTAGAACTAAACTAAAACTGAACTAGAACCGAACTGGAACTGAACTAGAACTGAACTAGAATTGAAGTGGAACTGAACTAGAACTGAACTGAACTGAACTAGAACTGAACTAGAAACTGAACTAGAACTGATAGAACCTAGAACTGAACTAGAACTGAACTAGAACTGAACTAGAACTGAACTAGAACTGAACTAGAACTGAACTAGAACTGAACTAGAACTGAACTAGAACTGAACTAGAACTGAACTAGAACTGAACTAGAACTGAACTAGAACTGAACTAGAACTGAACTAGAACTGAACTAGAACTGAACTAGAACTGAACTAGAACTGAACTAGAACTGAACTAGAACTGAACTAGAACTGAACTAGAACTGAACTAGAACTGAACTACAACTGAACTAGAACTGAACTAGAACTGAAATAGAACTGAACTAGAACTGAACTAGAACTGAACTAGAACTGAACTAGAACTGAACTAGAACTGAACTAGAACTGAACTAGAACTGAACTAGAACTGAACTAAATGAACTAGAACTGAACTAGAACTGAACTAGAACTGAACTAGAACTGAACTAGAACTGAACTAGAACTGAACTAGAACTGAACTAGAACTGAACTAGAACTGAACTAGAACTGAACTAGAACTGAACTAGAACTGAACTAGAACTGAACTAGAACTGAACTAGAACTGAACTAGAACTGAACTAGAACTGAACTAGAACTGAACTAGAACTGAACTAGAACTGAACTAACTGAACTAGAACTGAACTAGAACTGAACTAGAACTGAACTAGAACTGAACTAGAACTGAACTAGAACTGAACTAGACTGAACTAGAACTGAACTAGAACTGAACTAGAACTGAACTAGAACTGAACTAGAACTGAACTAGAACTGAACTAGAACTGAACTAGAACTGAACTAGAACTGAACTAGAACTGAACTAGAACTGAACTAGAACTGAACTAGAACTGAACTAGAACTGAACTAGAACTGAACTAGAACTGAACTAGACTGAACTAGAACTGAACTAGAACTGAACTAGAACTGAACTAGAACTGAACTAGAACTGAACTAGAACTGAACTAGAACTGAACTAGAACTGAACTAGAACTGAACTAGAACTGAACTAGAACTGAACTAGAACTGAACTAGAACTGAACTAGAACTGAACTAGAACTGAACTAGAACTGAACTAGAACTGAGAACTGAACTAGAACTGAACTAGAACTGAACTAGAACTGAACTAGAACTGAACTAGAACTGAACTAGAACTGAACTAGAACTGAACTAGAACTGAACTAGAACTGAACTAGAACTGAACTAGAACTGAACTAGAACTGAACTAGAACTGAACTAGAACTGAACTAGAACTGAACTAGAACTGAACTAGAACTGAACTAGAACTGAACTAGAACTGAACTAGAACTGAACTAGAACTGAACTAGAACTGAACTAGAACTGAACTAGAACTGAACTAGAACTGAACTAGAACTGAACTAGAACTGAACTAGAACTGAACTAGAACTGAACTAGAACTGAACTAGAACTGAACTAGAACTGAACT